CGTTCCGCAATCGTCCTATGCCTCGTCGCAACACCGCACTAAGGAATCGTATCCGGATGCGTATGTCTTGCGAGACTATATCAAGAAGAAGTCGGATAAGCGTAGCCCGCGATCTTCAAAGGAGAAAGTCCTCGCCAGCGACAACCAGTACAGTTCCCGCCCTGGACATCCTGGACGACACGACTACACTGCCTCGGCCGCATACGCACAGCAATCTGCCACAACAAATTGGTATTTGAATCCACCCGAGCAGACCTCACGCGATCCCACTTCATCCTCCCGGCACCATCGTGAACGAGACAAGGATAGAGAGAAGTCGAGTAGGCGCGACGTGGACAGACCTGACGCGCGAGACCGCACCTACGAGAAGAGCGAAGACCGCGAGCGTAGGCGTAGGAAAGAGAGGGAGAGGGAAGCTGCTAAAGAGAAGGAGCGTGTGTCTAAGGATCGCGATAGACCTAGGGAGAAGGAGAGGACCAGGGATCGGGAAGTTCGAGCTGCAGCAGACCCAAAACCTGCGGATGCGACCAACCCATACCAAGCATACGCAGCAACTGCTCAGAGCTCTGCGGACAGGTTGCCCGCGGGATACACAGTACGTACTTTCAACTGCCGTGTGGTTGTGGATGATCTCAATGTGAGACAGGACTACGGCCGAACCCAAGCTTCACAGCCCACCACTACGACCTCTGCGCCATGGTATGGGTTGACGGCTGGAGGGCGAACAGTCCCTACACACGCGCCTTCACCCGCGGTTGATGCTGGTTATCCATCAGCTTCTGATCGAGAGGATCCTCCTTTACCTATCCCTCCTCCTGGGCACAACCGCGAGAGGTCGTCTTCTAAGACACACCGTTCAAGACCTCAGGTTCTTGCACAGCAAGCGGGACAGGACTCTGGCATTTCTAGCAGCGAACAGGAGCATTCTGTGCGAGAACGTGTACGCCTGATGCTCGTACTTGTCCAACGCAACGATCACTTACGTATTCACAGACGAGAGTTTCTGATCGACGTTATGCGAGTCGGGAGCAAGGTAGCATCCTGGGGCGCGGTCAATCGTCTGGGCCTTCCGGCAGTGAGAACGAGAAACCGCCAACCATTCAGAAGGAGCGCGTGAGTACCAACTTCACATAAGTCTCACAAGGATAGCCATCCCATAATGGTCTCGTTCCAGCGCAAACACAGGACTCACGGAGAGTCGTCGCGCCATAAGTCGAAGGCGGTTGCGCCTGAAAGCCAACCTGGACCAACCTCAAGCCAAGAGATTGCCTCTGCGTGGTATAATCAGGTATATCCGGCCACCACGCATACTATCCTGCAGCTCATAGAAATTACGGGCCTCACAGCACCAACAAGAACGGAATGGGTCGGGAGCAAAGTCAGCTGCTCCTAATGGAAGCTCTCCGCAACGCCCGGCGACTGCAATGGCCAATGACAGTGCGCCTACGCAGTCTGGTGCGCCTTTCACAGGCAAGCCTACCTCACACGTAGGTCTGACTACATCTCACCGTCCTACGCGCCACATAGTCAGCATTCGCGCTGGGCAGGGTCCGGCCGACTCGAACATTACGCTGCCCAAGTCACACAGCGCGACGTCTATCGCCAGACAGGCAGATGCACAACCAGTAGAGCGCGCCTACGAGACCGCATACCGTTCTCAGACCAACCAGCAGTACTATCAGGCGTCCGCACCGGGCCCTTCTGCGCATGTGGATCCTTCGAGGACCCACCAACAGTCCACCGTCACAACGGGCGCCCCGCGCACGCAGCAGCCGCCCCAAGGCTATTCTGGCACGGTGGGGCACTCACGACACGCGGATTCCAGCGGTCTCATCTCGTCAACGATGCATGGCTCTCAGCAGACTTTACCGGACGTGGTAGTCAGGCCTCCATCAGCTGCCCCGACACAGCACGATCCTTACGCCTCGCGAGATGCTCCTCCTGCACTTCCTTCTCAGTATACCTCTGCCGGGCTATCTGGCACTAGACTGCAGGTGCCTTCGAGTGACCCTCGCTCGCGTTCCACTCCTGCTCCTGGTCATTCTCATGCTGCACAGGCGGCTGCCCAACAGGCTCCGTATTCGCACACACAAACGTCCGCTCAACACATCGAGACGGATGCTTACCGCACAGCCTACGCGGATGCCCAGTACGGGTCCACGCATGGCAAGGCCGCCCACCACGATCTACCTTCCAGGTTCCCCGTGAACGAGGACATAAATGAAACAGCGCATGCGTCTTCCGCGCAGACACCTGGATACGGGAGCCAGCATACGGGTGTAGCCTATACTACAGCCACGTCGCGCACAGCTGCGGCGGCGTCCCAAGGACAACCATCCGCCTCGCCGAAGAGGAACATGACCTATCCAGGTGCTTCAGCGCCGCCTCGCCCACCTTCGGTTCACGTCAATCCGTCTACCTACCCTACGGGTTATGATCCACGTTCACCCAAACCGCCAGTGGTCGCGATGGTACCCGAAACGCAAGGTAGTCGTTCTTATGGTCATGCCCATGGGAGAGAACCGTCCGGTCAGAGTACTCACCATCAACCTTCCCCGCGGCACGAGCAACATGCTGTACAACCCGTCACGAACGCAGGACAAGCCTATGCGTCCGGTGTTGGTGGTCATTCACCCTCACGATATCACTTACCTGACCCGGGTCGATCACCTGCTGTTGGACACGCAATTTCTGCTGGATCCGCATCTGGCACGCCGAAGCACTCGCCTTCTGGTCGTCTGCACTCGCATCGTAACGGCTCGAACGACACCATCACTCACGCCGCACCCACGAAGCCTTCTCCTAGTAGCCTTTCTCGCCAGCAGCTGCCCCACGACTCCAGCGCCATGAACGCACAAGCTCACGTCACATCACGAACAGATAATGCCTCCGCTTCTCGCCAGCCTAATGCCTCGTCCGGATACCCTGATCCAGCCAGATACCGCTCTCCAGCTCCTCCGGGATACCCGACCGCCCAGCCTCCCTCCTCCGCGCCCAATGGGGCTGCGCCCAGTCATTCTCAATCGTACAGCACGCAGACGCCTATCACAGCCTACGACCACCAATATGGCCGCATGCCGGCTTCGGCCACCCAGGCCACCTTCCCTTCTCAGTACCCCCAGGCCTCGACGCAAACGCAATCCCGTTCAGCTCAAGCAGCCGAGTATGGGCAGCGTGCACAAGACCCTCCGCACTCGGCACCTCCGACAACGACTACGATGCCTATATCTAGTCAACGCGTTCCGCCCCGAACTGTCGCATCGCCCGCTCCGAATACTGTGCGGCCGACGCGGCACGCTGCAGTATCGACACCCCCTGGCAAGGCGCCCGTTCCTCTGCAATCCGCGCCCCCGCAGCCTACCCGCAACCAGACGTACCCAGCTCCGGCGCCTGTCGCACATTCCCGTACTGTTTCGGATCCTCAGTATGCTGGTAGGACCGGAGCGGCCTCAGCTTATCCCTCTGCGAGTCTGTCTTCCCGGACCCAGGGGCAGTCGTCAAGAGCACCACCCGCTGCAGCCCCAGCTCAGCAACCCGATGTTCTTCTTACGCCATCCTCGTTGGCGCCCTCGATGCTTCCCCAAGTGACTCCCGTGCCGCTGGGTCGGACGACGTCCAAGACGTCGACCAAGGAGAAGGAGAAAGACAAGGAGCGCGACAAGGAAAAGAAGAAGGGCTTCTTCGGCATCAGCCTCTTCCGCTCGAGGTCTTCCCCTCCCAAGCCCCGGGACGTTGACCCTCCGCCTCCTCCTTCGACTACTGTCAGGGAACGGAGGCAGCGTAACGTCTCACAGCCCACTCAGCCGCTGTCTTACATGCAGGCACAGAACGTCGCGGTCAAGTCCCCCGCCGGTGTATCTGCACCGCAAGTTGCTACAGTCGCCGCCGTGTCGATCCCTGCGACAATGCCAGCGCAATCGCAGCCGCAGTCGCAGCCACCATCTCAACCTCCGCCGCAGACTCAACCTCAGCCCCAATCGCAGTATCAGCCCCAACCTCAGCCCCAACCTCAGCCCCAGGCCTATCCCCAGCCCAGCTATCAGGCCGACGCTTACAATCAGCATCAGTACCAAGCCCAGTACGCCCCTCAACAGCGCTCTCGACATCAACAACAGCACCAGCGCGGAAACCCTTCTCTACAAATACCGATCGCTGCGCCGACACCCGTGCCTGCTGCATCAGGCGAACGCAGCCCGAGCGGCAAGATGTTCACGCCGTTCAGGCTGTTGTCCAGGAAACATCGCACGGTGTCCGCGGCGTCTGTGGAAGCAGTAGAGGGCACAGTGGTACGTTTCTCCTCCGGGTCAGCCGCGCGACTCCGTAGCTCACTAGACTTTGTCAGGTCAATACGCTTTTGACGGGTGGAGAATCGACCAGGAGCTCGACGGTGGGCCGTCCTTCACCCCCGCTGCGCGACCCGCTGGTGGCAGCGCAGGAATGGCGCAACAGGGAAGAGTATGAGCAGCAGGTGCGCGGCAAGATACGCCGGCGGAGGCCTGGCGTGACGTTCGATGTCGCGGAGGATCTTCCCGACGAAAGCCGGGTCCCTTTACAGAAGTCGTTGCGGGCCAACATTGCGGAGATGCAGGCGGCGGGTGCCCCGGCTCCGGCTCAAGCTCAGTCCCAGGCGCAGGCTCCCCCAGCACCGAGCAGACAGGCGACGGCTTGAACGAGAGAAATATTACGAACATTTGGATAGGTGATATGAACGGCTTGATTAGTTATTGACCCAACCTCCTTCCTACTCCCCCACATCCTCTGGTTAGGTAGAATCGTTCGTGTTATCTATGCATGCACCTGCTATGTAAATGTATCTCTATATGTCGTCGCTACAGCTTTCGCTAGTGCAGGATGTATCATATCATTTGTGTAATCTGAATGGTTCAGAGATTGAACCGATTGCCTACCTATGGGGACAAGTTGACAACTACGTGTGGGCCCACAACTTCCGGCTGTCAGCACATTACTGACAGGTGCTACAAGCAAACCTCTCCATCATCGGTTCGATGGTGTAGTTGGTTATCACGTCTGTCTCACAGCTCCTCTCACGAGGACGGGTGCACAGGAGGTCTCCGGTTCGAGCCCGGATCGAACCACTTTTTGCGTCTACCGAAGCTCTATCTGCATGAGAGCTATCTTGAGAAATGCCCTAGCATCCTATGCAAGCCGGAGGATATTCCAACGCCGCGAAGCATCCCCTGTGGACCGGTAACCGGAAGACGGCCCAGCGGCCGTCCACTCTCGAGAACACGTGCTGTTCCGCTGCGAGCACTATACAAGACGGCATCAACACCTCCTCAATTCCCTTGACCCTTTCTACGACATCCAGCAGTTCCTTACCGACAACCCAACGGCTATGTCTTTCGAAGACCTGCCTGAGGAGTAACGTCGGCAAGGCACTCTGAAGGCTCCAGACTTCGGCCTCCCCCCGAAATGTCACGTACCAAACGCGCCGGTATACCGTACCCAAACATATCCTTGCAGGCGGCTGTCCAAGCACTGCGTGTATAGCAAGTTTGTTGTACACTTAGTATACCCCGGAAAAAAAAACAAAAAAAACAAAAAAAAAAACCGGTAACCGGAACACGACGTCTAACGTTCCACGAGCCTGGGATGCAGGGATTTAGACGATGCTTCGGACCGTACGGTGGGAGTGGGAAATAGCAGCGGCGTTTGCAAAGTGATGCCTGTCCTGAGAAGAGCATCGGCTCCGGAAAGGGTCTCCTGCCCGTAGGCGACTCAAAGTGAACTATGGCAAGGTGCGTGCTCGCGTGAGAGGTTTCTCTTGGCTTGCCTATATAGCTGCCTGCATTCTTGAAATGCGAGACGGCGATAAGGAGAAATAAGCATGTGTTGGAAGTGGCGGGGAAATCCAAGCGCGGCGGCCATATGGATGCATGCAATGACCCCAGCGCTAGCGAGTGCTGATCCAGACGGCGAAAGCGCAGCAGCCCGCGAGGTAGACGCCGATCATGCTACTCCAATAGAGACGAGGCGCCGTGTCTGACGGTAGTCCTTCTTCTCCTTCTCACTTCCGTCCCTCCTTCCTTTCCTCCTCCCAGCACCCGTCCACTCCCCGCGCAGCCTCCAAGAGGCGCACCACCGTCGCACAAGATGATGACGCCTATGCGTTATGTGGTATTGGTGCTGGCCATCATTGTGAGCCTCGCCCTCGTTCTCCGCAGCCGACCGCCCGTCTTGACTCCCGACACGTAGATCAGTTTGCACTTTATCCTGAGCTTCTCGCATGAGGAGTATGGCCGCGCAACATCCCTATCTCGTCTCTCCGAGCAGTTTGGCGGCTCCTCGCCTCAACCGCCGTACAAGAGCGGTGTTCCAGAAGAGTACTATGTCCCGGCTACCCCGCCTGTCCAAGGTCGTCGGGCGAACGCCACTTTTGTCCTTTTGGCTCGCAACGGAGACCTGAACGGTGTAGTAATGAGCATGAAGCAAGTCGGTGCGTATGTTCATATATTACCACTGGAATAAACTCAACTCGCGCTCCAGAGGACCGTTTCAACAAGGAGTTCCAGTACCCCTACGTCTTCTTGAACGAGGAACCATTCTCAGACGAGTTCAAGGAGTACGCCTTTCGTCGGCTGTACGCTATCTCGCCGTACTGACTTCCGGTGATTAGACGCGTATCGGCTCTGACAGACGCAAAGATCGAGTTTGGCCTTATCCCGAAGGAGGATTGGGTGCAGCCCAGTTGGATCGACGAGACTCGTGCCGCAGAGGAACGCAAGAAGATGGTGCAGAACAATGTTATATATGGCGGCAGTGTGGCCTACCGCAACATGTGCCGGTTCAACTCGGGCGTGAGTACTTGCTGATCTTGAAGGCAAGCATAGTGCTGAAGACCTCTTAGTTCTTCTACAGACAAGAGTTGCTCGCAAAGTACAAGTACTATTGGCGTGTCGAGTAAGTCGTATGCGCTGAGTTGAATTGGCGATTGCTTATACTAGTACAGACCCGACGTCACCTTCTTCTGCGACTTGCATTACGACGTAAGTTCATACGAGAGAGTATGCCGCTCCATTTGTCTGACCCGTCGTCAAACAGCCGTTCTTGCTCATGGAGGACCAGAAGAAAGTCTACGGTATGTAGGGCACTGTAACCCCAATATATCTGTACTGATTTTGCCATCCTGCAGGCTTCACCGTGTCCCTGTATGAGTATCCCGCCACCATCCCTACCCTTTGGGATACGGTGAAAGGTCTGTCGTCTGGCTTACGATAGTTCTCGGCGTTACTCATCGCACCACAGAATTCATCAGCGCCAACCCCGACCTTGTTGACCCAGACAGCGCCATGCGCTTCATCTCTGATGACGGGGGCGAGACCTACAATAACTGCCACTGTAAGTGTTCATCACTCTGGAGGCCCATGCTACTCGCTTAATATCGGCTTTTTGTCGATACCAGTCTGGAGTAACTTTGAGATCGGTGACCTCGACTTCTGGCGGGGCGAGGCGTACTCGAAGTTCTTCGACTTCCTCGATGAGAGGGGCGGGTTCTACTACGAGGTAGGTTTCAGCAATCCAGCGTACTGGACGAATGGGGATGATTGACTGGGTCTGGGCAGCGATGGGGAGATGCGCCCGTGCACAGCATTGGCGCCGCCCTCTTTGCCAAGAAGGAGCAAATTCACTTTTTCAACGACATTGGTACGTGGCCTCTTACGCATGGCTGTTCTACTCGCGACGGCGTTCATGACCGCGTCATCTGTCTATCAGGCTACCGTCACAACCCCTTCCAGCACTGCCCACAAGGCGATCTCCACAAGAAGGGCAAGTGCTGGTGCAACCCGCAGGAGAACTTCGGTGAGTGTTGGCCGCAGTGCTCTCAGCACATCCTGGTGCCTCCGTCTCCGTCACCGCTTCCGAGACTGACATTACGCTATTACTACAGATTACGAGTGGTACAGCTGCCTCAAGCGCTACGATGCCCTCTTCGCGTGAGCCGCTCCCGTCGGCGCGTACGTTCCTGTGTATCCTCCTCCGTACAGTATTTATTCCCCCTTGCTTTGTCGCCGCGACCGTGTGCATCTATTTGCCGCGTTGGATTGTCTCGAAAAGCCGCTGTATCGATGCAGCCTGTATGCCACTGCGAATCGAAAGCAGACGCGGCAGTCGTGCACATAGAGGGCCGCGGTGCAGCGGATAGCATACGAACACTTATAGCACTGGTGTCCATCGAACGACTGTCATAGGATTGACTGCGAGTAATACTGATACTGTTATCCGCGCGAGAAACGTCTCTCTCAACATCTAATCCAGAAGCGAACCATTCCAAAGGACCACGTACCGAGTCATACAGCCTAGTCCAGTTCGATCCCAGTGAGGTGTCGATGAGCCGCTGTACGTGCTCCTCGACCGCAGACTGAGTAAGGCCCTGCTGGAAGCGATCCCGGAGCTGTGACGCCGTCTGCTCGCCGAATGCGGCGAAGCACGGTAAGGACGAGTCCTTCTGCATAAGCTCCACCAACGCTGCACGAAAGGATCATGATAAGCCTGATGTACCCGGGAGGAGCCAGCCGACCCCGAAAATAAATGAAGAATAAGGACTCACTAACGATCCGGTCGCAGTGCTTGCGCGCCGCGTCGAAGCCCTCCCTGAACAGTTTTCGGAACTCGCGGTACGCAGGGCCGTCGAGCCCGCCGAGGACCTCGATGTACTCGAGCGGGAGCTTGAACGGGGCGGCCTCGAAGCCGATGTTGCCGGGCGAGTTGGAGAGCATGAAGCCGAAGTCGATGTGGATGAGGTGCCCGTCGCGGTCGAGGAGGATGTTGCCGTTGTGCCGGTCCTTGATCTGGAGGAGGTACGTGACGAGGGAGTAGCCCGCGAGCGACTTGGCGAAGTTGCGCTGCGCGCGGACGAACTTGGCGGAGGAGGGGTCGCCGTAGGTCTGTTTTGCTAGAAGATGAGGGAAGTGGAGGGTGTGGTGGCGTGAGATTGTCTTACCGTCTTGAAGTGGTCGAGCAGGGTGACGTGCCCAAACCGGCCCTCTGCTAACCTCCGCGCATATTCGGCCTTCTTAATCGAGTGTATTGAGACGGCGTCGGTGATGGTCTCAACCAACCCGGAGGAGTTACCAGTGATAAGTATTCGGAAGCTATTAGAGGTGTCACTATACGCGCATATTGCGAGAGAGACATGCGACTTACTATCGTACCCAACACTGGCAGTTCTCCTCCTTCCAGATCTTCTCGAACTCCTGAATGAGCTGCACAGCAAGTTGTTCTTGTCGAAGGTCGCCGCCAGTCTTGACGATCACCGATACGCAATCCCAGTTCGCTATTTTGTGGTCACGGTGAGACATAGGATCGTCGACTGGACTGCGGGAGACATACCTAGGTGGCCGTACGGCGAGGCCTGTCGTACACGAGCCTGTTTTCCCATATGTCAGTTGGATCGACAGACGTAGTACCTACATCAAAGCTTACCTTCTTTGCCGCCCACGACTCGCTAAACACCACCGCAGACGGGTCAGCCTTGCTCAGCTCCCTCCTGATGATGCCCTCATCCTCGGCGGTCTTCATGTCCCCATCGACAGGGCTTATCCGCAACGAGCTCTCGTTCACGCCGTTCTCGCGCATTCGCGCCATCCGCTCCTCTTCCAGCGCGAGCATCTCCTCCATAATCCGGTCCCGGATCGCCGCCGCCTCTGCTGGCTGCAGCTTCATGCGCATCGGCATCGGGGTCGTGGGTTCCGTCGACGGTCCAGCGCCTGGCGCTTGGGCGCTCCCGTTCGTAGATGTGCCCGTCAGCCAACTCGTACCGGGCAACCAGCGTAGGGGCGCGCCGAGCATGGAGGGTTCTGGGGGAGGTGGGGGCATACCGGGGGCGGATACCGACGTGACGGGTTCCCGCACGAGACTCGCGTTCAGCTGAGCGAGCATGACTGCGGCGGTGCGCATCCGCTCGGAGTACTCGTCCAGGGACAGCACACGGGTTGCCGGCCCTTGGCTTTGCTGGCGCGAGATGGAGACGGGTTCGCTGATAGGAGTTTGCGGCGCGCCACGCATGGAAGGGGGTATACCGAGGGAGGGGGTATGCGTGCTGAACGGATCGTGCTTGTCGAGGAAAGGGGTGTCA